AATCGAGCGCTTTTCTAGCGTACAGCGAATCTCGACTCGCCGAACGCGACGCGACCGCGGACGCTAGGAATCGCTCGATTCGCAGTCTGACATCGGCTTAACTCATCCCCTATTCATCCGGCCTTTTCATACTTCAGTTTCTTTTTTATAATTCTTCTTCTTTTCTTCCTCTGGGATACTTCCCATTTCTCACGGGTTTTCAAAACGTATTTCCAGTTTAAGCAATATCCGCATCCCAGGAATAAATATGGATGCCAACCACGTCATGAGCTATCGCAGAAATATACTAGCAAAGCGAAAGCTCAACAAAATAATTACACACTACACCTAAGGTAATGTACATCTGTACGTTAAACGTCCACTTTTTAGAGGAGGTAAACGCTGAAACACCAAAAAAGTAAGATAAAAAAAAGTAAAGCGTTTACAGCTATTTCGTACCTTTATGCTCATTGGACTATTCTCCTTGCTGTTGTTTTGCGAAGAAGAGACTTCATCTTCACGAGCTTGCGGTGGAGGCGGGGTTGATGATAGAGGTGAACCTAACGGCGATGGAGTTCGAGACCGATCGCCCACCTAAACAAAGCATGCCTCAAAAATAAGAGAACATAGGACAGAAAATGGTAACTTTGTAGCTAACGTTTTAGACGTACCTTTATAACGATTTTCTTCTCAGTCACAATGTTCACTGGTGTCAGTAGTGCAACTTGACCGCTGAACACGGCTCCATCGTCCTCATCGAACGCATTCTTCCGTTTCAGTACCGAAGGGAACATGGTTCTATCCCAGTCTTCCTAGGTGAATCGATTTCCTTCTTGATTTCTTTCTTCACTTCAATCGGCTCTTTCTTGCATTCGGTTGCGTCATCATCCTCGCCATCGAACCACTGCTCTTCCTTGAACAACAAATAATGTGAACCAAAATTGAGCAAACAACTGCACAATACCAACTTCTACACAGAGATGTATACACCAGAGCGCATCTCATCCGGTGAGGTCAACCGTTCTTCCGCAATGCCGACGAGTTGAAGGGGAGGGAAGACCGTAATTTCAGCGGTCTTATTTAGTGGCTGAGCAACCTGACCGTCCGCGGGAGTTGCATTTGGGTGAAGCTCTCCCACTTACAGAAATCGGGCCGAGCGCGAAAGATAGACCCTCCATCCTACATCGAAACCTGGCATGATCCCAAAATAAAATTCTGCCATAAGCTCTGCCGGAAAAAGTGAACACTTGGCTCTATGAATAATGCTGAATTCTTTCGAGTGTGCGAGTGTGTAATAAATAGTGTAATCACAAAAAAGAACTAGGGCCCGTGAGTAAACATTCCCTATCAAAGAAGGTCTTCACGATCGCTGCCTTGCCTTCAAAACGATTTTCAAAGCGGTTCTGAATGTCAAAAAGCTTGAGCGCTATAATTCATGACAACTTAGTTTTACTAAAGCTACTCATATGGTAATAACCATGTATTACTGGCGCGGTATCATTGGGCAAACAACGCAGAAGCCAAAGCCGAAAATGCGAAACGGCTCCGGAGTACAACAAAGAAAACAAAGAGCCCCGTTTCCTGACGTTCTGGGGGCCGTTCAGAAAAAAAAAAAAATGAAGCATAACTAGATGCTCCAAGCACATATATCTACAAAATGACAATCGTTTTGAAAAAGAGGGCAAGAGCTGAAAGATTTCCCGGATTGAAGTTTAACGAATATAGCAAAGCAGCAACTCCATCTCGCGTCCCCTAGCTCAAAGGTGCCCAACTTCTTGGCGAATCACGAGAAATTTTCACATACCTGCCGCTCTTTAGCGAACGCTGCCGGACTTGGCACTCTCTCGTCAGCGGTTATCTTCGCCGAATTCTCACGATCGCGCTGTTGTTCATAGCGTATCTTCAGCTCGGAGAATAACTTCACGTAGGTCACGTCTTCAAATGAGGACATGTGGTTCTCTACTGTGTATTTGACCAGCGGTTTAATGTCCTCCTAAATTTGGCAACCATAGTTCAAATAAGTTAATGGAACGAAAATAAGTATGCACAACTCACCGATCGGATATAGTCGAAGAGTTCTAGCATTGCCGAGTTCAAAAGGTTGTACCGTGCACCGTTTCGAACGAAACACTCAACGACACGATCCAGTACCTTCTCTCTGACGATGTACCGATTATAGAAATCGTCCTTCACTGCCAACACTGTGCGCAGCATTTTTAAAGCAGCTGAAACGTATAAGATAATAAGAGGATCCAGCTGATGCTTCGTCATGAGCACCAACATGGCTTTCTTCCCTCGAAATTTTCAGAAACACTTCAAATTTAAGAGGAAATGAAAATTTACAGGATTATAGCACTTTGGGTCTATTCCAGTTAGGGGGCATCATGATGCAGTTTCTCGGCGAACTAGTGTGAACTCGAACATTCCAGCTTTTCACGCATGTCAAGTGACTGCCCTCACCCCCCCCCCCCCTAGACTGGCTACACTCCCCCTGGCTCGGAGTTACCCTAGCTTTCTGGAAAAACTGCATCATGATGCCCCCCTAACTGGAATAGACCCGCTCTCTTGTCAGGGGAAATACTGCATGTAACAATAAGAACCAAAACCATGAAGGCCGAAGATCTAGATGGCGTGGGTAATGGACTCCAAATAGTGCCTTCAAATAGCTGCATAGTGCCTCTTTGCCACTGCGCTTCCCGCGAAGGTAAGTAGAGAAATGTTTCCATCACTTGAAAACAACGCAAGAGAAAATAGACAAAACGCACCTAAAGCCAAGAAATGATGCTTGCTTTGAAGGAGAACAAGCACTTTGTTGAGCAAATCGTTCGAAATGCAATGCTGCCGCATTGAAAATGAATGATGCTCGATGCAAAAGCACAGTAATCGAACAACCAACGATTGGCGATTAGCGGTACAATAGTCATCTGAAAACATGTTTATAAGTCATTGTCACATTTCACACCATCTCTTATTCGAGACTTTATAAAATGGCTAGTAGATAGAACAGTTGCCAAATCAATCTCAAAACATGAAAACAAACCTCGTTTGATCGTTCCTCCTTTGACATTATCCATCATTGGTTTCACAAGTGTATAGATGGATCTTTGGTAGAAAAGACTTAAAAATTCTGACCTATCCGACTTCTGCATAGAAACCATGTTGTCTGGATCCAGCAATGTTCGAAGGACCTGAGAAACTTTCACCTTTATTTTGGAAGAATTATTCACATAATCCTAGACATGGCATTACAGTCACTGAGAACGTAACACTACTCATCACGGTAGGTTACAGCACACAAATATTGAAGGTCGTCCTAAAAATTGCCACGAAATTTTT